ACGTATAAAGAGACAAATAGAGTTGTGAAAGGACTAAGTGAAAGTGAAGAACAACGAAAAGAAATGTAAGTTCGAATTAGTATTAAAAGTATAAATTTGTGAAAATTAATGCACAATGACAGGATTTAATGTAATAATTATCGGTTTTATACAGCAATAATTTAAAACTAATATTAATCGTCATCGGAATAAATTATTGGAGAATAAATGGAATAGAAAGAAACAACAACAAAATAGTATGGATTTATAATTTATTATTGTTAATTTTAGAATTTTAAAAATTATTGTCGGGAAACTAAGTTTGTTTATTGTTTAAATTTTAGAATGTGTTTATTAAATACCTGCTGAGGAGGGACATACAAGTCCAAAACGCAGATTGTATGTGTCCAGGTAATCATAAATAAACCAATTTTAATCTGTGTGACTGTGTTGCTATAATTCTATACACCAGTATAATAAGTCCTATTAATAGAAATGCACGGTTATGGTGTTTGAAAGAACAACAAGGTTGTTCATGCTGCCAAATTCAGTATAACAGAAACAGGTAGAATGAAATAGAAGGAATCAAAAAAGGGAAAAAATGACGGAAGGCACGAGAAACCAACTGAAGTAACAAGATTCGGAAAAGAAGGACAATCGTTTAGAAAATTAAGAGAAAAGTTTAAAATTTCACAAAAACAAGAACAAGTAGTGGTGAGAGAATATGAATTGAATCTCCAAAAATATAAGTCCTGAACAAAATACACAAAGAAGCAACTTGCTACTCAAAAAGAAATTCTTCTGTTTACACGCTGCACATTTTTAAAATCAAATCAATATTATTGATGTAAAGTTTTCTTTCTGGAAGCAGTGAAAATGTAATTCTACCTCACTGTTAATGAGATAAGACTTTGTAAGCACTTTTAAAACTACCTGAAAATCTTTCATAAATCTAAAAAAAAATTCATTCAAGAGGTGTTTTACATCTTCAAATATGCCGTATATTCCGTTTATTCTTGCCATTTTACGACCGATTAAAATAAATCAAAGTATAAAGCGGTGAAAATTCGGGGTTTATCAAGTCTGACGTTAAAAACGCGCTTTAAAACAATTTAAAAAACAGTAGGCAATCGACATTGAATGATGCCATTCAGTGTTGTTTCTCTGTTGTTTTTCTTCTTGTTTTCAACAATCGCAAACGATAATAACGTACAAATGCTAGAAATTTAAAGTGGTATTTCAAAAGAAAATAGAGATTTATATTTTAAAAATTGAAAGATTTAATTGCAATATTCCTTTTAAATATTTATAATTTTATAATAACTTTATACAAAAAAATTACGAAATTCAGATTTTTTGTAATATTAGAATTGAATTTAAAAAATTCAATTTATTCGCTTTTAAAGTTTGATATTCGAATTCGAATCGGTAAGCATTAATTATTTTATTTACACAAAATTATATCTTTAATTTAAAATCAAATAATAAATTTTTCCAATCTCCTTAACAAGCGATACGAATTACCTTCATAGTGTTCAATGAATAATTAGTATTTAAGACTCTAGAAATAAATATTATATCTATACATATGTCAAAAACAATTTAGGTACCACCACTGAAAGAGTTTCGGTAGTCATTTCCTTTTCACACAAAAACTATTAAATAAATATTTAGTGTACGTAAAATACTGAACTAACTGTATTGTAAACTGATTATTATTATTAAGACAATAAAATTGGTGGCATTAAATCCATAACGTTAAGTTGTTGACGAACGTAGAGCTGTAAGAAATTCACCATGGCTTCGTCTAAATGAGGAGTGAAGTAATTTTAAGTGTCGTCAGCGTATATCGGCTCGTTCTTCCGACAAGAAATAATAAACCGATAACAGCAAAGTGAGAATCTATAAATCGTCACGTAACTTTTGTAATGAACTTCGGGAAGACGAATCCGCTAGGACCATCGAGCCCAAGTAAGTAGAAGATTGGACTGCTTCTCACCAAGAATAATTGGAAAGAAGCAAACAACGGGGTTCGATCAAATGGAGGGTGTTTTGGTTAGCGGTTTCATTAAAATAAACAAACAAAGATTCGTTGTCCCGTGAGGACAACCGAAAAATCAAGTTGGCAGGCGAGGGTGTTAGAAAGGGTATTCGAATTGTTGAAAAAATATAAAACAATGGGATCGGTAAATATACTAAAAATATAATTTCTAAAAATAGACGAGTAAATTAAAACACTCTTTCCTAGACCGACTTCGAGTGATTTATATTAGCGGACAAATAGTAATCAACAGAGATACTTTACTTTAACCAATGTTAATTTCTTTATTTTCATAGTTTTCAAATTATTTTCCAAATGCATTTCGCCGTTACAGCCTCTTCAGTGGATTATCCAACAACCAGACACTTGTTTCATTTTATACAAATAAATTTTTCCCAGCATGCATCAACGTTAAGACCGACATTCTGATTCAACAAATTTGCATGTTCTATTATACAAAGATGTTCTACCACGCGTCTTTTAAACAAATTTTCCATTTTATACAATATTCTTACAGAGCCTCTATTAATTTTACAATTATAATTAACACAATGTTGATACCATGGTGACTCTTGTCTTTTTAGACGAATCGCTGCCTCGTGTTCTTTTAGGCGTATCTCGAGCTTCCGTCCCGTTTCTCCAACATATGATTTCGCTTGTAAACAATCACATGATACCTTGTAGACCACTCCTGCGACGTCAAGCTGATTTCTTACTGTTTTTCGACCTTTAGTATTTATAATATTAATAACATTCGACATTTTATTTTCCTGCTTGGCCACTACACATACAGAAGACTTTTTAAATAAAGGTTTATATCGTTCATAAAAACTATATATATAAGGCATTTTTACATAAATGTTATTATCTATACAATTTTTAACATTATATCTGTAATTTATAAAAGAATTATACCACTTACAAATTTTATTCTTCGGGTAATCATTCAATAAATATTTTCTAAATAATTGTTTAATTTCTTTATTTATATCTTCATAGAGTGTTGTTCTGTTTAGTATTTTCCTCAATTCCATGGTAAAAACGTTTCTCTTAGTTTCTATAGGGCAATAAGATTTATAACTAATTGTTTTTTCTGTATTACACAATTTTTCATACTTACGGAACACCAATTGCGTTTTCTCACGCTTAATAGTCACATCCAAATAGTTTATTTCCTGATTCTGTTCCAATTCACTAGTAAACTTTATATTGGGTTGTAAGGTATTCGCATAATCTTCTATTTCATGAGGTGTTACCATACAGGAATCAAAAATAATTAATATGTCATCCACATAACGAGCATAAAATTCTATACCTGGAACTTTTGATATACTATCATCAATTGATTTCATACAAATCTCTGCTAATTTAGGTCCAATCACTGATCCCATTGATATTCCATCTTTTTGGCGAAAATAATCTGTGTTAATTTTAAAATAATTATTTTTAAATATAAACTCTATAAGAAGAACTATATAATCTGGTATTTCATATTTACTAATAGATTCTTTTATCATATCCAATGTTATAGATGGGTACATTGATTCTATGTCTAAGCTCATAAGACGGTGATTTTGCATAACTTTACCTTTCAATAATCCATTGATTAGTTCATCTGTATCCTTGATACTGTATGCTGGTCTGCTAATTATCTGCAAATAAGTTTTTAAATAGCATTCCAAATTATATAAGACTGTTTTTTTAAAATCAACTAATGGTCTACACTTGTTACCTGGTTTATGAGTCTTAACTCTTAAATTTAATTGTGGTTGTCTTATATTATTGAAATCTAGTATATTTTTTACCTGTTGACTTGAAAAATGCTGTTTATGTTTCTTAATTAGTTTCACTAAATTATTCTGTATTTCCTTTAATGGATCTGATGTTAATTTTTCGTATTCATTAGACATAGCGATTTCTTTTTTCTTTTGCTTTACTTCTTCTCTCGTTAATATAACCAGTTGATGCGATTTGTCTGCTTTAAGGATAGAAAGTTTATTATTATCAAAAAATTTTATTAACCTTTTAGCTTTTTTATTTATTTCTATTGCTTTTTTATCAGTTATGAAACCATTTTTACCTTTATACTTTTCCAAATCCTTACTTATATTGGACCGTAACATCGCCTTTTCCTCATTATTTCCAGGTAATTTTTGAATAACATTTTCTATATCAGCCACTATCGGATATGGTTTAGCATATATTGGAAGATTCATATTATATCCCCACGACAGGAATCTCCTAAAGTCACCAGGTATCACTACGTTGGTACAATTAATTATCAATTTCTCTAACCATTCTTGTTTTTCCAAATAAGTAGGATATTCAAATTTACTTTTTAACTTAATACATTTATTAAATAAGTAAGGATCTAAATTATAGTCTATAAATACATTATTTCCATTAATTCTTTTCATTTTCTTTAATTTTTTACGTAACAAAAATATTTTTTTACCTTTTATTTTAATTGCCGATTTCATAATCATTCTTTCTATTTTCTGTATATCACTCTGTCGAATACTTGAACGTATAGATGCAGGTAAGCAAAGTGTCACTGGCGTGTGTTCTTCTCTCAAGAAACACTTGAAGTAATTTATATCTATTGTTAATCTTCGTATTTGTCGCCTCAAATCCTCTATCCCCATTTTTTGTTTGATAAAGTACTATAATTGTTGAAGAAATATAAAAATATAAAACAATGGGATCGGTAAGAATACTAAAAATATAATTTCTAAAAATAGACGAGTAAATTAAAACACTCTTTCCTAGACCGACTTCGAGTGATTTATATTAGCGGACAAATAGTAATCAACAAAGATACTTTACTTTAACCAATGTTAATTCTTTTATTTTCATAGTTTTCAAATCACGTTCCAAATGCATTTCGCCTTTACAGCCTCATCAGTGGATTATCCAACAACCAGACACTTATTTCCTTTTATACAAATAAATTTTTCCCAGCATGCATCAACGTTAAGACCGACATTCTGATTCAACAAATTTGCATGTTCTATTATACAAAGATGTTCTACCACACGTCTTTTAAACAAATTTTCCATTTTATACAATATTCTTACAGAGTCTCTATTAATTTTACAATTATAATTAACACAATGTTGATACCATGGTGACTCTTGTCTTTTTAGACGAATCGCTGCCTCGTGTTCTTTTAGGCGTATCTCGAGCTTCCGTCCCGTTTCTCCAACATATGATTTCGCTTGTAAACAATCACATGATACCTTGTAGACCACTCCTGCGACGTCAAGCTGATTTCTTACTGTTTTTCGACCTTTAGTATTTATAATATTAATAACATTCGACATTTTATTTTCCTGCTTGGCCACTACACATACAGAAGACTTTTTAAATAAAGGTTTATATCGTTCATAAAAACTATATATATAAGGCATTTTTACATAAATGTTATTATCTATACAATTTTTAACATTATATCTGTAATTTATAAAAGAATTATACCACTTACAAATTTTATTCTTCGGGTAATCATTCAATAAATATTTTCTAAATAATTGTTTAATTTCTTTATTTATATCTTCATAGAGTGTTGTTCTGTTTAGTATTTTCCTCAATTCCATGGTAAAAACGTTTCTCTTAGTTTCTATAGGGCAATAAGATTTATAACTAATTGTTTTTTCTGTATTACACAATTTTTCATACTTACGGAACACCAATTGCGTTTTCTCACGCTTAATAGTCACATCCAAATAGTTTATTTCCTGATTCTGTTCCAATTCACTAGTAAACTTTATATTGGGTTGTAAGGTATTCGCATAATCTTCTATTTCATGAGGTGTTACCATACAGGAATCAAAAATAATTAATATGTCATCCACATAACGAGCATAAAATTCTATACCTGGAACTTTTGATATACTATCATCAATTGTTTTGAAAGAGTGTTTTAATTTACTCGTCTATTTTTAGAAATTATATTTTTAGGGTATTCGAATATTTTAAATAATAGAATACTAACTACCTCTTACGCAATTTAGAATATGTAAAATCCAAAAAATGTTTTAATATTTGAAATCCGATATTAGAATGTTTGAACATTCGCGTGAAATTGGTTTATTCTTCGTTATTCGAACGCAGATGTTTTTATAATAAAAGCTCTTAAAATTCTACTAGCAATTTTTCTAGATTTTGCATAAATATCTATGACTGAGGTAAGTCAGTAGAATTTAATCGTGAGTATTGATTAGTTCTAATAAGAAATTCAGTTTTCACAAACGCCAAAAATGAGGGAGTAGGTTCATGAAACAGACTAAAAATACTAGTAGGAACAACCTCCCTGGAAGACTTTCTATTAGTGTTATGTAGTGGCTATACAGTATACACTCTGTTATGGGTGAATTCTTCACATTTCGTTATTTTTATTTTTCTTAGTCTATACGTTTTTTCGAAAAGTTTTATTAATAATTCTGTTATATACACAAATTTTGTCGCGATGATTTTCCTCTTTTTTTCCTTACTTTTTCAATTTTAGATTCACATTTGTTTTCGATTCCATCAATCTTCTAGCTGAAATAAACATACATATTCTATAACTGCGTACCTCNATACAGAGTTAGCAGTCACGAATCTTATCTCGAATTGAGTCAGACTTAATCAAAATCATATCCGTTGTTATCATAAACAATTTTTGAAAATAAAACTTAAATGTACCATGAAAAATGAAATTTTGTTATTTTATAATAGCTACAAACAGTTTTTAAAACAAAATCTTATATTTTATGACGCTGTACAAAATTATAACTTCGTGTAAATAAATCTTAGTGTTTTTCTCCGAAAGTTGCGCAACTCGTTTCTCGATATTTTTTGCCATATGAAATAATTTATTGCTATAAATTTATCTGCAGACAAGTCGTCCTTTGCACATATTTACAGTATTTTAAGTATGTAGAAAAAATTCTAAGTTTTAGTTATATTAGTGAAAAATTTAAATCTCTCTTAAAACATGACTTTGCTGTTACTATATTTATATATAGCTTCAAGGTTTTCTCAGTATTAGTAATCAACTACACCTCTACACTATAAACTAAATATTATATATTATCTGATTGATATATTTGATGAGTAGAAGTAAAAACGCAGTATATAGAACATTGTGGACAAGAGAAATTAAATGTTTTTCACTGACTGATCAAACAATTAGAAACACCTACTAAAAGCTTACAGGTGCTATTCTCCCACAATCCACAAAGTAAATATTGTGAAGCGTTGACAGCACTTGCTGAAGTATTGTTAAAAATATTGCAAGCCACGCCTGTTGCAGCACTTTTCTTAAGTCTGCCACACACGTCGTATGGGCTTTTTCAAACCAAATATTCGCCTCAACATTATTCCAGAGATGTTTAATTGGCTTTATATCTGGAGACTTGGAGGCCACTACATAATTAAAAATTCTAGATAACGTATGTCGAACAATTTCTGCACAGACGGTGACATATAACATATTGAAGGTTAAAAGAAACAAGAACATGTGATTAATCTTTTATATTTTATTATCAGCCACTACGCTGGTCCAACAAGTGTCAAATTGATAAAAAATTACTGGATTACTAACTAAATAACAAACTGATCACAAAAATTACGTGAATGAAGTTATTTCATTGCAATTACTTCCAAAATATAAAATTCAATTATACCAAAACTGGTTTAATAAGTGAAAAAGACAGTAAGAGCGGTGCTAATGCGTTACGAATACAAGCATCGTGTGTCTTTCACGATAACTTTCGATAGAACAGATTTTAATATTTACTTATATCATAATTCGTAAATTTAATTTGGTATAAAAACGAATTATGCAGTCGAACAATTAATGAACATCTGAGTATTTTTTCAAGATCCAATATTATTTACCGGTCCTCTTCGCAGGAACATCGATCCTTTTAATGAATATTCGGACGATCAGCTGTGGCAGGCATTAGAACAGGTTAGAAGTGATTATAAATATTACAAATTACTGTTTGACATTCCTCTTTAATACTCTTAATAAATAATCACAATTCTTATTTATACAATTTTAAAATATTTTAATTAAAGGTACAATTAAAAGAAGTTATCAATAAATTGCCCGGAGGATTGGATACACATTTATCAGAAGGAGGGCGAAATTTCAGCGTTGGAGAAAGACAATTAATTTGTCTGGCAAGAACGATTCTTCGTCAGAATAAGATTCTTGTGATGGACGAAGCGACATCCAATATAGATAGAAGGTTAAAATAAACAAAATTAAAATTATGTAAATTTAAGTATAAATTATTTGACTTTCTAATTAGTTTTGCACAGGGAATTTTAATACGTTTCTTTCACAATAGTCTCTAAATTAAGAGTTTATAAATAATTCGTGATAACTTACACATTAATATTTATCAACTGTCTGATTATGCAATATTTTCCATTTTGTACATAGAGATCGGCTGTAATAGAAAAAATGTTTTGTAGTCCACAAACGTAAAGAACGAAGTTCAAAAGATATTGATATTGAGATTCATAATCTGTTTCAAACATGAGCAAATGCTGCTCTTTTTGAGTTACATGCGGCTCTTGCTGAAAGTGTTAATTTCTGATTTTTATTATTATTTTTACAATTTTATTTCCACAATTTTGTGAAAATATGTTTTTAAAAAAAAATTAATATTTGTTATCTATTATATTTATATTATATAATAAAATCGCGGTACAGAATAAAAAAGCACAGAACTGCGGCTTCCATGCGATTTGCAAATTTTACATTTCGGCTTCTATAGAATTCTTGCTTGCCCACCCATGATCTATTTTAAGGGTAATATTAAATACATGTATTCGTGACATCGATGTCCTGTAGGAAGATGCAATGATGTAAGAATATATTTCAATTAAAGGTATTTGGTCTGAATGGTTGGTGTTGTGATTAACAGCTATGGTTTGAAATGTTATTCTGTCTATTTGATGTTTGCTTTTTTTTTTAGCTTTTTTCTAAACATAATTTAATATGTCTAAATATAAAGGTTTGTAATTGCAAAAGAAAAACATTCCGAATAAATCGAAACGTTTATCTCTTGCAATTAATAGCCCAACCAATTAAAGAGCTGAACTCAAAACAAGACTAGGCCTAAACGTAAATCCACGGGAGTCTCTGTTTCAACCCGATCAGTAGAAGATTTTTTTGTCTTGTTTTAACAATAGATGAAACACACGATCTGACTAAATCTGTGCATATTCATATAATGTTATTGTGTTTATAGCAATATGTAACAGTATAAAAAAACGATGACAAAAGACTTTTTATTCTTGTAATATATATACAGTACATGGGCATTTTCGTTACAATCGCTAGTCTGGAGGAAATGAGAGTTGTTACTCGAATCTTCGATCACACTAATTGATATTCAAAAAAATTTCGTTGTTAAATCAGTGCTGCCACCACGTTTTAGATTCTTTCACAAATAGCTCTATAGTTATAACAAATACACGATGATAGCCAATTTCGAGACAGCGTAACGAACAAGCCTGATAAAATTATCTGAACTTTCTTCACTTGTGTAACACCTAAAATATAAGAATATTAATGTTTGGTAACAGCATTGATCCAGTAACAGCATCTTATAGCCACATCAAACAAAAACCTCCAGCAGAGTCTTGTTTACAACTATAGAGTGCCCGTGTAAATATTCCACAAAAATAAATAGTCTTTTGTCACTATTATTCGCCGTGTTACATAGATTAAAAAACATAGAAACATTATACGAATGCACGCAGATGCACACAGATTTAGTTGTATCTACGTGTTCCAGTAATTGTTAAACCCAGAGAGGAAGAAATCTATTTCTGATCAATGTTTCTTCCATAAAGCAATTTATTGGGCAAACCTACCACAAGTTGAATTCCATTAAATTAATGCAGCGCAATTTATTATCCATAATTTTTGAAATTCAATACCTAGAAACTTCTCATAGCAACTGTACATTTTGTTTATTACACGCGGTCTGCTGCTGCATCAAAAATTTTTAATTAAAATATAATATTTTAAAGTTACATTTTCTATTTTTATTTTTAATGTTTGCGATTCATACTAATGCTAATACTTAAAGACGATATTTAAAACAGTTTTCTATAGGTTTTATAATTAGCACTGATTCCCGTATTCAAAATTAATTCGAGAAAAGTTCAAATCTTGTACAGTGCTGACAATAGCCCATAGATTACAAACAGTCATCGATTCGGATAGAGTTATGGTAAGAATTTTCTACTTCTAGTATAAAATACATATGTGTTTTTAATATCACATTTGAAATTTTTAGGTAATAGACACAGGAATACTACAAGAATTTGACTCGCCGTATGCATTACTCAAGAACGTAAATGGTACTTTTTATAATTTGATAAAGAACACGGGAGTAACTTCAATGAATCAGTTATACAAAATTGCAAAAAGTAAATATTATCTTAAAGAAAGTACAGAAATTACTAAATTATAAAACAACGGATTGTCTTTTGTATATTCGTGTTAAGATTTTTGTTTAAATTTCTGTTTCTAGAAATATCTCACTACTACTATTTACTCATACGTAAAACATAGAATTGTTAATATCTTAATAGTATTTGTTTGTACTTCTGTTAAATTTTTACTGTATATATTTATGATGAAATCTAACTACATATATATTATAAATTACTTATTATGTAGTTGGTGCCTATTGTAATAATACAGGCTAATTTACTTGGCACGAGATGGCACCTATGACTGCAGTTGTTACTATATTTTTATCAATGTAATTTACCTATTATAAGCTGTCATTAATAAAAAGGCAGTTTATTGCTTCACACAAACATGTCTCTTCTATTATTTATCTTTTCATAACCGTCATTAATGAATTAGGCCTATTTTTTATACTTATCGGAAATCTTTTGAAAATTTATTATGATTTCGTAATTTTACGCAAAAGTTAAACGCAAACGCATCTATTATAACTTCATTTTTCATGTTCGTATCCATTTAAAGTAATCACTTATTGTCATACGGACGCGTATATAGCATTATCATTTTTATATGTTCGGCTAATATGAAAATACGTATATCAAGGATGGTCATTTACTTCGAAGAAACATCACGTGCCCAAAACATTGGTCATAAAAATATATTTGATATTAAGAGCAGTGAAACAGGAAAATGAGGTACAGAATATTAATTACACATTAGTGTTTTATATTTTTTGTTATATTACAGTAGTTCTATTTAGCGCATGCTGGATATGGTACCAAACTAAGAAACAAAATTATTGGTCAGGCACTTCTTTTAATGCAGAAATTCTCAGACTAAATGTAAAAAGTTAGTAAAAATTAAACGCTACAAATTTTATGTTTAGAAAATTACAGAACACTTGAAGCAGACATAGCCTATACATTCAAACATTTTTTTATCGCTACCATTAGATCTATTCTGAACATGCCAATTAATCCAACATGGCTCACGTAATTATAAGTTGGGGAGTTTGAAAGATAAGTTTAGTAAAAATGAGAATTCCGTTTATCAGACAAAATCGTACCCACATATTTCAGGATTTCGTATTTATTATTTAGAGAAAGATTTGTTTATAAATAGTAATTAGTATCGTACAAACAGTCCTTATAACTCCTTCTATTCTTATCTAATCCAAACGAAATTTAGTTTATATTCTTCTTTTGTTTGGACAGAAATTAAACAATAAGCAACTTAATTTTCGAATAAATTAACTGTAGGGTGTAGAGGAAGGTTCTATTAAATTCAGCTATCACTAATATCACTAAGACGTACACAGATAAACACTTAATTATATGCATGCACAATAGAAAATAATTATTTATTGAAATTTGCCAAAGTTATGTTTTAGTATTTAATATAAATTGGCAAAGTTAAAAATTATATCCAGTACTAGGTTAAATGTTGATGATCAAATGAACCCAACAGAATATAATATAGGCCTATACAGAAATAAGATAGAGTAATTGCATTATATTGTCACAAAACAACATATTTATCTTATCTTAGTGAGTGTTATAAGAGGTAAATGAATGAGTGGTGTACGAAAAAATCAAATATAAATCATAATCAATATACATTTTAAAGGTAAGTATACAATGTGCGTGCCGCTAAAACTGAAAAACGAGTCCCTGTACAATCAAAAGAGTTATATGGTGTGGTATACTTCTATCCCCCATCCATGAAGGTTCCCGTTTTTACCTGAAGGGAGTGCTGTTGAAGATATAAGGACTGAAAGTTTTGTCCGCTAAAAATTTCCAGAACAGTCCAGAACATTCGAGAGCATTCGAGAGCATTCCACAACATTCCACAATATTCCGGGATGTTCTGAAACTTTCGGGAACATCCCGGAACATCCCAAGTCATTCTGGACCATTCGAAGCCTTTTTTGTAAGAGTGAGACTACCCATTGGTGGGGATATATAAAATGAGATCCGTCGTGGGTTCGAACG